CCACCCCTCCCTGCCAGGTAAACCAAAAAACAAATAAATAAATGAAATAATGGTTTGCAAGACACCAGACACCAGATGATGATGAGAGACGCAAAACAAATTAGGTAAGTCCTATGATGGTACCAGCTAAATGATTTGAGGGACTTTCAGGCCATAGCACAAAGACGGAAAAAGCAGGCAGAGATTAGCAGACTCTCTAAGCTAAGGAGACAGAGCTGAGAATCAGTAGAGAACAAGGGAACTACAATTGGTACAACAAAGCACGAAAGAAAAAACTGTACAGAGAGAGAACTCTGGATATATGAGAGCTGTGGAGGGTCTCTCACAAGTACACAACAGAGTACTGAGTAGCTCTTTATCTATTAAAGAAATTGAATTTGTAGTTTAAAATCTTTCCAGAAAGAAAATGCTAGGTCCAAATGGGTTTACTGGTAAATTCTACCCAACATTTAAGGAGGAAATAACACCAATTGTATACAAATTCTTCCAGAAAATGGAAGAAAACAAAATATTTTCCAAGTAATTCTATGAAGCCAGCGTTACCTAATACCAAAACCAGACAAAGACATTAGAAGGGAGAAAAAAAGGCCCTACGAATACAAAATGTTAAGCCTTTAGAAAACCAAATCCAACAATACATAAAAAGAATAATACATGACCAACGGGAGTTTATCCCAAAAAGATAAGGCAGGTTTAACATTTGAAAATTAATCAAAATAAATCACCCTATTAACAAACTAAAAATGAAAAAACATCTGGTCACCTCAATAAATGCAGAAAAAGAATTTAAAAAAAAAATCCAATATCCATTTTGATAAAAACTCTCAGAAAACTAGGAATAGAAAGGGATATTCCCAACCTATTAAGAACATGTATGAAAAACCTACAGCTAGTATCATACTTAATTCTGAAGGACAGATGCTTTCTCCTTAAAATCAGGAATAAGACAAAGCTGTCCACCCCAAACACTTTTGTTCAACACTGTACTGGAAGTTCTAGCCAGGGCAATAAGGCAGGAAAATGAAATGAAAGGCATCCAAATTGGAAAAGAAGAAGTGAACCTGCCTTTATTTACAGATGAAAAGATCATCTATGTAGAAATCTAATGGACTCCACAAAAAAAACCTACTAGAACTAATAAGTGAATTTAGAAAGAGTGCAGGGTACAATATGCAAAAAAATTGAATTTCTATATACTAGCAATGATAAATCAGAAATTGACAGTAAAAGAATAATACTAGTTACTAACACACAGCAATCCATAAGGATAAATCTGACAAAAGATGTGTAAAATCTATATACTAAAAAAATACAAAATATTGCCAAGAGAAATGAAAGAAGAGATATATCAATGGAGAGAGAGGCCTTTTCATTGGTCAGAAGACTATCACTAATACATGAATTCCACACAAATTGATCAATAGATTCAATGCAATGCCTATCAAAATCTCAGTATCTTTTTTTGACGAAATTGACAGGCTGATTCAAAAATTCATATGGAAGTGCAAAGGACCTAGGATAGCCAAAATAACTGTGAAAAAGAACAAATTTGAAAGGCTAACACTATCTGATTTTAAGACTTTTTACAAAGCTGCAATAATCAAGACATGCGGATACTGGTGTTTAGATAGACAAACAGATCAGTGGACCAGAACAGAGTCTAGAAATGGACCTACAGAAATCTGACAACTGATTTTTAACAAAGGTGCAAAGGTAATTCCATGGAGAAATGATAGTCTCTTCAGTTGGGCATCCGTATGCAAAAAAGTGAACTTTGACCCTTATCTTGCACATTATACAAAATTTAACTCAAAATGGATCATAGATCTAAACGTAAAACCTAAAACTACAAAACTTCTAGAATAAAATCTTTGCGGTCTTGGGTTAAACAAAGATTTCTTAGATATGAAACATCCATAAAAGAACAAACTGATAAATTGAACTTCATCAAATTTAAAAACTTCTGCTCTGGGAAAGACACTGTTAAGAAAATGAAAAGAAAAAAATTAGTCCATCCTTACCACCCATAACCCTCACTACAAGAATGAATTCTTCATTCCTTAGCTTAATGATCCAAGTCCCTCTTTGAACAGGTCCCTAATGACTACAAGATTTGCCTTCTCAGACGGTGGTGGAAGAATGGCATACTGCAAATATGCCAGAAATTTACCAGAAGTCTGTTTGTGTGTGGAAGTGCCTGTGGTTATGATGTGAAAAGCTGACGCTTTATCAGAGGACTGGCCAGTTGAGAAACACCAAATCAAATTGTCTGGAGCTGGGCTACCAATCCAAATGGAACAAATGAAAACAGACAATTAAGATCAACGGAAGTCAAAGCAGAGAAGGTCAAAGATACGTCAGAGAAGGTCAAGCCATCTATATCTACCTGAGCTGTTGTTTAGGTGGTTCACCTAATGGGGTAACCCACCAGCTATTACTGGCAGGCTAGATCCAGTTAAAGGAAAAAAAGGGGAGGGTCATAGACATCCAATACTCATTCACATCTCTTCACGCAAACCCTACTATTCCATGTCCAATATTCAGAATAAGCACTGTTATTTGAAGCCTCTGAGCCTTTGCTGCTTCTGCTCCCTCTGTCTGAGATTCCCTTCTCCCACTCCACTTAACTTCTGGTTAACGACCACTCATTTTTCAAGAAATAATTTACTATGTTTCTACTGTTTTCTCTGGTATTTGGACTTCGATTGTATCTAAGAATTCTGGTTGGCTTATTCCTCTAAAACTCATATTTCTGACTGCCTCAGGTAATTTCCCCACCCCACTCAAACTCCTTATCACCCAATTCTTGTCCCACACCACTCAGACCATGGCTAGGTAGTCCTCCTTATGGGGTGGAGGATATTCGTACTTCAAAACTGAGAAATAATGTTCAAGTTTAGTGTTATTAATGATTTTTAGATAATATATAGTGTGCACTTAATATGTTCTAGACACCATGCTAACTGCTTTATTTGCAGCATCTCATTTAATCCTCACAACAACTCCATGAGGGTTATTGTGCTGTTATACCCATTTTACAAATGAGAAAACTGAGGCACAAAGAAGCTAAGTAACTTGCCCAAGGCAAAGACCTGGAACGAGACAGGGCTAGGATACGAACCCAGACAGACTGAATCCAGAGGCTGAGTTCTTAACCACTGGTCTATAATGCTTCCAGAATGGAAATCACCACTTTTTTCCCAACGTCCCTGTTGCTCAAGCCAAACACCGAGTTGCCCTTTACCTTTCTTTCAGATCCTCTAATCTGCAATCTCACTGCGCCTACCTTAGTTCACTTTTTACCAGGATGATAATAGTCACCTAACTGCACTCTGCTATAAAGGCATGTTCCTCATAACAGCCATAATGGACTTGCCAAACCACAATTTGATCATGTCACTCAACTGAATTCTTTCAGTAGTTCTGATAATCTGCGCGACTGTGCAAACTCCTTAACACATAGCAGACAAGGTCCCTCATCATCTAGCCCCATTCTTCCCTTTCAGCAACACCTGCTGTTTGCCTACATAAATAAGCCACATTCCATTCAAGCCAACCTTGTTGCAAGTCTTCAACGAAGCATATTCCTAATCCCCTCAACAGAAATACTGTTCTCTTTGGGATGCCTACACAATTCTTTATCTAGTAAATTCAAATTAGTACTCCAAGTTTCAGCTTAAATGGCGCCTTTCTTGACCATAGTTAACAATAACCTTGTAATAGTTAATATTCGTTTAGCACTATGTGTCAGCTACTATTCTAAATCCTTTATATATTTCAATACTCGTTTAATCACTCCAAAAACCATATGAGGAAATCGAGGCAAAAGAGTTAGCAGTTGCTGCCACTTTAGTGAATTACGGAGTTTAAATATTTCCTTCCTCAAATTAAATTCTAGGACGGTAGAACTGTCCTCTTCATCTTGGTAACTGCTATGCTTGTTGAGCGCCAGGCACATAACAGAAACAAGAGGAGCTCAATAAACATCTTTCAAACAAATGGCCAGAGCTGTGTTCTAACTGCAGACTTGGAAACTCTTCTCGGCCATTAGTCCTCTAATTTCTCCAGAGCACGCGACGAGCATAACAAACACATTTAGTGTCTAGGAGAGTCCCATGCAACACGCTTAAGGAACCTCCAAGTATTTACCAAACGGTTCTGCTTAAGTATATACACATCCTCATAGATAGCACCAAGCTTCTTCTGCAGCTAACTTCTTTAAGTTTTTACAAATTTCCACGCAACCAACAGGCATTCAAAAAATATCAGTTGATCAACGATGACATCAAACATCACATATAAGAATTCTCAATAAAGAATTAAGGAGCTTACTTTGATCTCTCAGAAAGTCGATTTCTGTGGCCATTTCGATACAATTTTAGTTTGGAGCTTTTACCACCTTTACTATCCTCAAAAAGACACAGAGCTCGCTGTGCGCGAAAACAAAACTAAGACAACGCTCTGGAGGTTGACAGGCACTCGAGCGGTGTAATCAGCATCCCACCCACGCCGCGTCAACAGCTCCGCCGCGCCTCCTTCTCCCGAGTCCCAGCCGAGTCCTTCGCTCAGGCAAGAGACTTCAGATTTCAGGGTTGCTGGGGATCTGCCAAGTGAATTCTGTCCCACGATCACCCGAATCTCAGTCGGGTGGGACGCGGACGCGAGTGGATAGAGGCGTCCCGCGGGCCACTCGGGGTCGTGTCGGGCCACTTAGGAAAGCACAGAGGAAGCCGGCGGGCAGCCTGGTGGCGGCGTCCTTCGCGGAGCGGGGGGCAACTCCAGGACAGCGGGGAAGCCCGGGGCCAGCAGCGGAAGTCCACTCGGCCCGCCCTGCGACTTTGAAACCGGTGCCCCGGACCGCTCCTTGGAGACGGTAACGCCGCCTGCGTCCTCACGCGGGCGTCAGCGCTTACGCCATCGCGTTTCCTAGAGTCTTCGCGCGCTATTGGCTGTCTGTCAAGCGATGGGCGGAGCTGTGAGAGCCTGGATGACAGTGGGCTGAGGCAGCCGACCGGCGGCGGGCAAGCTTGCCGGCCTGTGTTTTTAGGTTGTGGGGCCCAGCGTCTTTTCTGTTTTTTTAAAGAAAACTTCAAAAGTGTAAACCTAGGTTGGGCATTAAATACATATTTTTAAATGCCCCCAGTATCTTTGATGCATAGCATTTGTGGACTGAGAGACCCCGCTGGCCAAAGGGGTTACGTGAAAAGAATGTAGGTTTGTGTGGCTGGGGGCTGAACCCAGACTGGCGTCTTCGGAGTCCGCCACCAAGGCTGTCCTGGAGTATTTCTGAGTGTGGACTTGGTACTCTCCGGAAGCTCAGTACTGTCCTGCCCCTCCGGGGTCTTTAGAGAAAGGCGACAGCTGTTGTTTAAATATTTAGCTGTGTGGCAATAAGGCATATAGTTAGAAGTACTGCAAAGATCCTGCAAATTCAGCAGTTATTTTGCTTCCTCAAAAAGAAGAAAAACTAAAGTTACTTTTTTTTGCAAGAAAAAATTGGGCAAAACTTTACATTTGTGGAGGGATTACAATTCCCATTTTAGAGAATTGATTTTATCTGGATTTAAACTTTTACCATTTTTTAAGAACAGTTAACATTGGAGGAAATTTCAGTGCTAGCAATAAAAATGTTAACTTGAAGCTAGCCACTAGTTTTAGTTTTTTGTAATGGATTATGTATTTTTATGGATTGAAGGAGTTTCACTAAACAGACATGCCATAGATGTAACTCGACTTGGCTTTCTCTTTACGTTTGTTTTGTTATCCTCTACCCATAATGTTATATAAATGCAGTAATATTAGCAGAATGTATTAAGAAATTTTTAAAATGTGTCCCAACTCCATCCAGTTAGGTGTTTAAAATCCTGTTATGGGCTTTCTCCATACTCACTATGAAGTGTGAGATGGTCCCTTCCTCTAAAGACTGGCTGTTACACATGGAGGTATATCTAATAACCACTAAAAAAAGTTTAATTTAGCTTTGAGTCAGTGAAGATTGAATTTGATCTGGTTTTTAGTGGCCGTGAAGTTAACACAAAAACTTGGAAGGAAAAGTTGAGTGTGCAAGCTCCAACTATTTTTCCAAGGTCAGTATATGACTTTTTCTTCATGAACGTCTCCACAACTCCCCAGGGACTTACTTGTAGCTGCTTCTACGCTTGAACCTTGTGTATTGTCGTATTATGATTTAACTTAGCATTGAACAAGTAGTTATAAACTTAACATTTACAGTAAAAGTTGATAAGATATATTGGTGTTGGCAAAAGCAAAGAGTACTTTCTAGATATAAATGATGAGTGGTCTTTGCATTGCATAACTTAAATATCTGAAATTTGAATTTTTATCTCTGTACTTGAATTATTTGGCTTATACGGTCAGGTTCAATACAAACTGTAGTTTTTGGGCTTGGGTGTTTTTTGGGTTCCCAGATTTTACTGGTGGAATTTTTGAATTTCATGGAATATTTTCAAAATAATTTTCATCTTTAAAAAGCAAAATTGTTATGATTCCACTTATCCTTAAAGTATCCCCTCTAGTATTTCTCCATTTTACAGCTTCCCTTGTGTTCTCTATCCACTCCCCCAAGGTAGGTGCTTCCTTAGTACCAACTTCATGCTTCTTCCTGCATCTCCATCATGTTGTTTTTGTAGTGTGTCTCCAGGCTCCATCATAATACCTGGAACACAATAAGGACTCATTCAATATTTGATGAAGGAAATTAATTTAAGAATTCAGTGAATGTGCATGGAAAGTATCTATTAGTGTAATTGAGTACAAGGAATGAGAAGTGAGAGAAAAAAGTCTTAGTCTGTATTTAACCCTTCTCTAGCTACTATTTCATGTTTTTATATTAAGTATATTTCTGCAATAAAGAAAACCCTTGAAAACTGATAGATTTCACTAAAATGAATTTCTTCAATAAAGTGACATTGAGCACCGAGTACTATGTGGAAAGCATCATGAAGAATATGAAGTTGAAAATTTAAGCTAGGGCCAAAACTGTACTTAACGTTCTCTGATGTAATTAAATGCCATAAAAAAGTGATTTTTAAAAACTCTTAATAATTATGTTTATTTTACCAGTCAAGAGAAGTACACCAGTGTAATATCTGCTCTTGCATATCGGAAGAAAATGATGGTGACTTTACTTAAACATGTAGGATATGCACACTATTCCCAAAGTAGCTCTGAAGTTCAGGTGCAGTGACTCCTTGCTGAATTAAACCCACAGATCCTATAGAAATTTTGGAAATCCCCGGCAACCAAAATACAGAGTGATTCTATTTGGAAATATTGTAGTTCTGTAAATTATTACCTTTTCTTGAGAAGCTTAAAACTTTACTCATGATTATCTCATGAATTTACATCTAATCCTGTACAAAAATGATTAGTCCCTGCTGTCTTGGGTGAAAGAGACACTAAATGAAGGAAGATAGGTGGATAAATGCTGAAACTGCCAGGATACTTAAGACCAAACCAATCAGAACCATGTTGTATATCTCTAGAACACTTAACCTAATTCTGTGATCTCAAGGGTTAGACTATCCTGTCTCGTAGTCTAGTTTCCTATAAGAAGACCACTTTGGACACATGTAATTATAATGTTTTAATTTAATTTAAACAGAGAATTTATTTTTAGGCAAATATATATACTTTAATAATAAGAGCTAATCTTTTTTAAATACTATGTGCCAGGTACTGTTCTAAATGCTGTATATATACATTAACTCATTTAATCCTCACAAAAATCTTCTGGGGTAGGTGATATTTTAAAATCCTTTTTACAATGACTGGCTGATGAGCACAGTTGGAAAGTGCCTGAATTGGGATTTGAATCTAGGCACTCTGGTCCCAATGTCACAATCATTAACCACCATGTGTGTGCCTCCCAGTAGCGGAATATAATTTGCAGCTAGGATAATATTATTTCCAGCTAGAGTAATATAATTTATACTTTTTGCTTATCTAGCCAGTTAGCCTTTAGTTGCCTTGATTGAATTATTGTTATACATGTTCTATTGTAATCTTTAGGATTTACAGTTCATTTTCAAATTGTTGGACAGTATTTATATTGCTGAGTTACCCTTCATTCTCCTTCTAGAAAACCGCTCAAACTTCAGAGGAATGATTAAAAGTCTTCAGATGCTCATCGGTGGTCCTTCAAAATTTCTCTTTCCCAGAAATATCAGGAATCTCTGCTGCAGTCTAAGTCCCTCCCCGAGAATGTGTGGGCAGCTGGGCGGAGCCTAAGGCTGAGCCCTCTCGGTGACCTCAGCGGAAAGGAGCCAGCGAGCGTTGGACTGAGCAGATATTCTCGGTGTGTTCTCTTCTTGTTCTGCTTTCTTCCCTCTCATTCCTTGCACCTTTGCCCAGTTATGTCGTTAGGTTTTTCTTTGGTAACTTACTTTTCAGCTGCCTGCTTCTGCTGGCGCATTTACTCTCACTTTTAGGCTGACTTCCTCATTTCTCCGTTTCTCATGTAAATGGGTAGGGGTGGAGGGAAGGTGCAAACTGAAAAGAAATAATTCTTGTAGAGAAACTAAAGAAAATTTCATGAATAGAGGAATTTGGACATTTTCCTTGCAAAACATTTTGTTGTGAAAACACCTTTTCCATAACTTTCTTCTTGTAACCTTTGTGGAATTTCTTTCCTTTGCTAGCCTCTTTTTTTTTTTTTTTTTTTAGAGGAAGATTAGCCCTCAGCTAACTACTGCCAGTCCTCCTCTTTTTGCTGAGGAAGCCTGGCTCTGAGCCAACATCCGTGCCCATCCTCCTCTAGTTTACACGTGGGACGCCTACCACAGCATGGCTGCCAAGCAGTGCCATGTCCGCACCCGGGATCCGAACCAGCGAACCCCGGGCCGCCGAGAAGCGGAACGTGCGAACTTAACCGCTGCGCCACCGGGCCGGCCCCCTCCTTTGCTAGCCTCTTAATGCTCCCGGGTTCTGTCTCCTTTTTCTTCCTTCATTTCCTTTTAAAGGTCTTTCCATAGTACAGGTAAAGCAATGAAAATAATTTAAAAATTATTTTTTGACTTTTTTTGATGAAAGAGTAACTTGAAGAGTAGAGGTTAAAATGTGAAAAAAATACGGATTACCAATATACGTTCTAATGGTGATCACTTCGAATGAATATATTCCTTCAATAATATTCCTAATATTTATTCTGACTTTTTAGAAACACACCATATGTAATACAAAGAAGAGAAGAGGTGATCATCATACTCTTTAAGAGACTCGGGCTTAAATTGGACTTTAAGAAATATTTTTAAATTATTCGTTTATTTTTGAGTAGTAGTGCTTATCTATCATAGTATAAAGTTCAAATAGGTAAAAAAGAAAAAATGATACTGTTAAAAGTAAGTCTCCCTTCCTCCCCTGTTTCAGGAAGGTAATTCCTTCCAGAGAGGTGACCACTGCAACCAGTGGTTTCTTGTATATGCTTCCTGAAATAGTGTATACATATGCAAATAGTCTTCGTTTTTATGAAGTAAATCCATACTTTTTGCACCTTGCTTTTTTTCACTTAATTTATTTTAGATGTATATATAGAGCTACCCCACTCTTTTTAACAGCTATGTAGTATTTCACTGTATGATATAGCATAGTTTCTTTACCGGTACTCTACTGAGTATTTAAGTTGCTTAAAATATTTTGTTATTCTAAACAATGTTGCAGTGAAATCTTTATACTTAACGTCATTTTGAACATGTGCAGGTATAATAACTCCTAGAACTAGAATTGTTGAGTCACAGGATATTTGCATTTTCTACTTTGATAAGTATTGAGGGATTGCTCTTGACTGAGGCTGTGCCAGTTGTGTTCCAGTAGCAAAATGTGCTTGTTTCTCAGTGTCCTTGTTATCATAGCATGTTGTCAAGCTTTCTGATCCTTGGCAATCTGAGTAAAGAATAAGAGTTTGTTGTTGTTTTAGTTTGCATTTCTATCACTGTAAGTGAGGTTGAACATTTTGCATTTTCTGTCAACTGGCTGTTCATATTTTTGTCCATTTTTCTGTTGGGATGTTGGTCTTTTCCTTACTGGTTTCTAGGAGCCCTTTAAACATTAAAGAATTATTTATTTGTCTGAAATATGAGTTGCAGATATTTTTTCCCAGACTATCTTTTGATTTTGTAATGGTGGTCTTTTTTTCGTGGGGGTAGGCAGACTTCTGCTTTTAATTTTGTTATTTTTATGTAGCCAAATGTATCGATCTTTTCTTTTATGTCTTCTGGGTTTGGAGTTATATTTTAAAAGGCTTTTCTACGAGAAGATCATCTTTTTAAAAAAAATCCTTTTTTTTCTTTCTTGTTCTTATATGATTTGATTGATATGTTGAAATCTTTGATTCATTAAAACTTAGTTTGGTGTAGGGATCCAACTTTATTAAATTGGACATCAAAATGAACCAATTGATAACGGACTTGGTTAGTTAGCAACATACCACCTGGCTGATTTGCTTCCTGAGAATCATCCTCAACTCCCCATAGACTCCTTGTACTTTATTTCCCCAGAACCTGGTATGGTGCCTGAAGCAAAGTATGTGGCTAATAAACCTTTGGTAAACTAAATTGAAAAGAAATTTCTAGCTAGAATATATCATCTTACTTATTTGCCATTGTTTTGGTATGTAGTGTTGAATGAGATAATGATGCCATTGACATGGTTGATTTCTCCTGCAGAAAACCTTAGTATCATGAAATTTTAGATCCAGAGACTAGAACAATTATTCACTCAACAAATAAGTAATGAGTTCCTGTTACTTACAGGCATTCTACTTGGGGACAGGGAGACAATAAGCAAATATGTCATGAAGTCTAAGTGCTGTGAATCAAAACGGAGTGCACCCGTAATAGAGAGTGACAGGCAGTGGAGTGCTTCAGGGATGCACACTAGCCCAGGTCGTGAAGGACACTGACAATTGAATTGTCTCTATTTCATATGAGCACATGTGCAAACAAAGAAATTGAGAGGTGGTCCCCAGGAGACAGTCCTAAATTTCCCTAGGGAGTTGAAAGGAGAATCGATTGTCTCTGGGTCCATGTTATCTTTAGATTAGATTGTAAAGTAGTGGGTGGGGCTATACATTTTAGATTAATTTTGTTGTAAATTTATGCATACTTAGATTGACATAAGTGTTCTTTAAGCAGATTAACAAATGTGTCATTCTGATAAGAAGCTAAAGTCATTTATGCAGTTAAAGACAAAATTATATGCTACCCTTGGACATGTCAGCCGTGGCACTCCTCCCTGCTGGTGGAATTTAGTTAGCATTTCTTGCAGTGATTTTCAAAGAAATCTTAGGGGAAAAGGCAGAAGGAACCAGTAGAAACACTGGAGGTACCACTTTCTTGTGCTCTTAACAAGAATAGCTCTGCTTTTATCTATTATTTCTTCTTATCTTCCAGGTAAGATTACATTTTGAAGTAATTTGAAACCTGTAAAGTACACCTCACTCTGACCATGAGACCCATGTGTGCATGGAAGTGACAGGCTACTTTTAGGAGCACGTCACTAAATACAGTTTAATTCCGTTTAGACATAGAGATGATTGCCTGAAAGAGCTAGAAGTTGAAAATTCCCTGACGGAAACTCACTGAGTAGGATAGGGATCGCTTTAATGTGTGCAGCATTTCTGCAGATATGGTGGTTGTGTGGAGAATGAATGAATCTGCCAAAACTTCCTAGTCACTGAGCTATATTTTGCCAGGATTGTTAAGAATTCTGAAGTTTCATGTTAGGAGAGTAGCATATTCTCTCAGCATATTGGTGTCAGAATCAAATTTAATCAGCATTTCTAACATCTTGATTTATTTTTATTTCTTCCTATACACTGCAAGAGCATACTTACTAGTACCAAAATTTGGGGTAGAGCCTTATACGTTTATTTATTTATTTTTTTTAAAGATTTTATTTTTTCCTTTTTCTCCCCAAAGCCCCCCGGTACATAGTTGTATATTCCTCGTTGTGGGTCCCTCTAGTTGTGGCATGTGGGACGCCGCCTCAGCGTGGTCTGATGAACAGTGCCATGTCCGCGCCCAGGATTCGAACCAACGAAACACTGGGCCGCCTGCAGCGGAGCGCGCGAACCTAACCACTCGGCCACGGGGCCAGCCCCTTATACGTTTATTTTTGAAGAATGCGTCTTGAAAAATTATTATTGAAGTATTTTATTCCATATAAATAAGGACTAAATTCTATGTAAGTCATAATCAGTTTATGCAGTCTTATCACTCACTGAGCTTATTTCAATAATGAAGAATTATAAATTGCTGAACATACCCTCTTCTAAAATACTATTAGTTGCAAATAGCTTGCAATATCAGAAGTACTTTTTTTTGTAAGATTTTATTTTTTTCCTTTTTCTCCCCAAAGTCCCCCAGTACATAGTTGTATATTCTTCTTTGTGGGTCCTTCTAGTTGTGGCATGTGGGACACTGCCTCAGCGTGGGTTGATGAGCAGTGCCATGTCCATGCCCAGGATTTGAACCAACAAAACACTGGGCTGCCTGCAGTGGAGCGCGCGAACTTAACCACTCGGCCACGGGGCCAGCCCCCAGAAGTACTTTTTAATTTTGGAGGTTATCTACTAAAATTTATTAGCATGTAGTGAAAATTAGGAAAAAACTACATGCTTTAGAAAAAGATTTTCAGAGATCTAGGATTCCTATGTGACACAGAGCTTATATATTCGGTTCTCCTGATGCTTGGCAGATAGTAGGTACTCAGTACATATTCATTGAAATAGATTGATTCAAAATTTAATAACTATTACTTGCAGTAAAAAATCACATATGAAGCAAGGGAATGCATTTAAAGACTTTAGATAAGGGAAGTTACAGTCTGGAAATATCATCATTTACTAATCAAGATTATCCTCTGGACAAGACGTAAGGACCTAGTATAATTTGAGGAATCCACTACTCCTGAAATAAGTTTTTCATCTTCTTGCAGATTCCTGAAATATCTTCATCTGGAAAAACATGGCTACAATTGGTTCAGTTTCTGATTTGTCAGCCATGTGACCTTGGACAAGTCTGTTTCTTCATTTGTAATGAGGATAATAATAGTTCTCCTGCAAGTTTGTTGTGAAATTAAATGAAATAATGTTTATAAAATGCCTGATCCATAGTGTTCAACAAAAATGTGATTTTATTAATATAATACTATGTCCTTCCATTTAATCCTTAGAGAAGCAATTTAAAATGCAAATACTGCTTGTGTCAAAGATAGTCTATCTTAAAGTTTAAATGATAGCAGATTCTGTTTCCATTTTTCAATTGGAGAGAAGGGATTAACCAAGAAAATGGTCATTTAACACTTGAAATATCAAAAATTGAAAATGCTAAGAGAATCTTAACTCTGAGACCAAAGAAGACAGTATTAAATTCTTCTAACCTTCAATGTCTGTAGCCCCCCTACTCCCATCCCCAAGAGAAAAGAGTTTTAGCCAAAAGAACAGGTGTTAACAGCCATGCATCTGCTGATTTATAGAGGTTTTTTTTTTTAAATCAAATTATTATAAAAATCTTGATTCACAGGAGATCCAGTAATTCAGACACCTGCACATTTTACAATAAAATACAAAGATGACATATAAACTCATAGTGCTCATAGTTGTTAAGTACATGAATAATTTCTACCATGGACTTAATTACAAGGTTTTAAAAATGATTTTGATACACTCTTTACAAGGTAACTCAAGCTGAATCTAGACTTAAACTCTTAAAGCCTTTGGGATCCAACTACCTATTTTACAACAGAACTCAGTGTCTGTGACTTGCCATAACACAAATGGCCTCTCAGAACTGTGTTCTTGTCACTCTGCTGCCTTCCTGCCTGCTATTTGGCATAGAAATTTTCATTTCATTTCTACCTAAAGGAAACAGTTGTATATTGTTAAAAGAGCTCGTTTTAATATGTCTTTTTCCTTTAGCGTCTTCAGATGGATTTTAAAATTGAACACACTTGGGATGGTTTTCCAGTGAAGCATGAGCCAGTGTTTGTCAGACTAAATCCAGGTGACAGAGGAGTGACGATGGAAGTTAGTGCTCCATTTTTCAATGATCCTCCAGCTCCACTTGGAGAACCAGGAAAGCCTTTCAATGAACTGTGGAATTATGAAGGTAAGTGGAAGGACTGTATTTTATTGCAAACGTAAATCTTTTTATAATAACCTCTCATGGAACTATTATTTTATCTTGCTGTAAGGAAGTGAGTGCTTCTGAGCAACTGACATGTGCAGTTTCTGATACTTCCTACCAATCTCTCATTCTGACTTTTTCACCATTACCTATGTGTCTTCAACTTATATAACTAGAACAGTGAAAAATGGCAATTGCAAATCCAGATTTTTAAATTACTGCCATATTTCCTTCCTTTACTTTTGTTGCCTATTTTAAGAAGAGTTCAGCCATCCTGTTTTGTCTTTAAGTATCTTCAAATTGCCACTTTAACCTTATAAACCTTCCTTATGGAAGTTTTGGGGTGTTTTACTTATTATAGAAACACCATCAACTTCAACATGAAATGTAGTTTTTATTTTATACTAGAAAGTAATCTCACATATAAAATGACAGCTGAAACGCATGCCATGAAATTACAGTGTTTCGGGTTTGCTATATGATCCCCTTCTAAAGTATCCTAATTAAGCTACCAAACGTTATCTTTTTGAAATACTCTTTATGTTGCCATTCCCCAGATCACAAACCATTGCTATCCCTCACAAAAAGTTCAAACCCTTTCTGTAATCTTTCAAGGTACTCATGAATTGGGCTATCATAGCCAACCAAAAGCTCTTGACTTTGTGAAAGGCTAATGATCTTACTGTCCATGCATATTCTCACCCATGGACCTTCTCTCATTCTATTCTCTCTGACTCTAATGCACATAGTTCAAGGTCTGATTCAGGTTTCATTTCTTCAAAGAAACTCTTGATGATTCTTCTAGTCCATACTAACATCTGCTTTCTCTAAACCATCTGTATATCATACATTTTGTCAGTACTAATTTATCGTATGTTAAACATATGTTGTCTTTTATTGATACAGTACCTGTATATACCAGCTTTCTACTGGTGTACATATACCAGTATGACTTATCTACTGGAGGTGCTACAGACAAGAGACTCAAGTCCTAAACTCAGCTCATGCACTACTCTCATAAAACATGCTTCTTTTCCTAACTGCCCAGTCTCAATTAGTGGCCCTATAATACTTCAGATCACCAAATAAAGAAATGTGAGATCTTTCCAAGATATCCCTCTCTCTCACTCTTCATACGTGGATTTATTTTCTAAGTCCTACCAGCTTCACCTCCTAAATGTTTCTCTAATTTGGTAGCTCCTCTTCATCCCCACCATCCCTGCCATAGATTAGGCCTTCATCATCTTTTACCTGGGCTGGGTCAGAGCCTCCTAAATAGTCTTCTTGACCTTAAGTCCATTCTTCACTTGGAAGCCAGAGTGATCTATCTAAAATAAAAATTTTAACTGGTCATTCAGCTACTTAAAAATCTTCTCAGGCTGCCTGTCCTCTCAGGAGAAATTTTACGTGTCTTAGTAAGATCTCTGTAAGATTTTCCGTGACCTGGCCCTTATTCGCTTTTCAGCATCACTTCTTTCTGCGTTGAAAGGTTTGCTTAGTGAGACTGAACTGCTTGTAGTTCTTTAAATAAGCCACAATATTTCCTAGCCTTGTACCTTTGATTACACTACTCTCTCGCCCTAGAATGCCCTTTCCAAAATTCTTCTTCACCCATTTCCAACTCATCTTTCAAAATGGAGCTGGAAAATAGTAACTAGAAGATGTATTAGGGTTCTCCAGAGAAACAGGACCAATAGAACATGTGTGTGTGTATGTGTGTGTGTAGAGAAAGAGAGAGAGATTTATTCTGAGGAATTGGCTCATGCAGTTGTGGAGGCTGGCAAGTCCAAAATCTGAAGGATAGATTAGCAGGCTGGACACCTAGGGAAGAGCTGACACTTCAGTTTGAATCTGAAGGTTGTCTGCTGGCAAAATTCCTTCATGCTAAGGGAAGGTCAGTCATTCTCCTCTTAAGGTCTTCAATTGATTGGATGAGACCCAGCCACAATATGGAGAGTAATCTCCTTTACTAAACGTCTACTGATTTAAGTGTTAATCTCATTTAAAAAATAACTTCACAGAAATATCTAGAATAATGTTTGAACAGATATCTGGCTACCATGGCCAAGATGACAAACAAAATTAACCATCACAGAAGACAATTCTAATTTGTTTAGGTAAAAGACTTAGAAAGGGACAATAAGACTCTGAATTGTTGATGGAACTATATCTATATCTTGGATATTTTATTATAAAAATAACATGGAAAGCTGGAAACAACCTAAATGTCTATCAATAGAAGATTACGTGAATAAATTATGACATTCCATAGAAGAATACTATGCAGTTATTAAAAATAATTGAGTATCTATATGCTGGAAAGCTTTTTTGTGAAAAAAGCAGGTTGTAGGGAAGTATGATTCCTTATTTATTTTTTAAAAATCTGAGCAGGTAAAATAGATTGTAGAAGGACAGAAAAAGGACAGGCTATAGAGCAAAAGACAGGTTTTAGAGTAAAGTGGGAAGAAAAAGACTGACTTTTTACTTCATATATGTTTGTATTGTTTTAATCATTTATAAGAAACATGTATTACTTTCATAATTAAACAATTTTTTAAATGACATATGCTCAGAAAATTCCAGGAAATTATAAAGAAAAGAAAAATCACTTAGCTGCATTCCACCTATCAGAGATAACCAGTCATAACATTTTTGTGCACATTTTGCAGACATTCAGGCACAGGCACACATGGATATTTTTATTTTAGGTAAATTTGGTTATTGCTCTGCAGCCTACTCACCAAATATCATGGGTGTCTTCTTATATCAGAAAATATCTAATTGTATATTTGATTTTAATGACTGTATTATATTCTGTTGCATGAAATAGATAAATTCTATAATTTACTTAACAGCCCTCCTATATAATAGGAGATAACCATTTAGATCATTTCCCGTTTTTGAGCAATTTTTGATGAATCGCATTATGCTAACTTCTTTTCCCAGTTGTCTGATTATTTTCTTAGGATGAATTCTTAGAAGAATACAACTGGCTCAAAGTCTGTGTGATAATGTTCATTTCTTTACAACCTCACCGGCACTAGGCTTTATTAATATTTTAAATTTATTGCCATCTGGTATGGGAAAAAATTGATGATATGTTTTCTATTTATTTCTTCTTCCAGGCAATGTGTATTTATTTTCTTTTTCCCTTTTCTATTGGTGATAGAGTTATAATTAAAAATAATGAGTTAACTCATTTTATATTCTAAAGTAATAAACAAATTATTTATTTTTGAAGAAAAATTAAATTTCTTAATATGTCATATCTCTGTTTTCAAAAGTTGTGGAAGCATTTTTCTTGAATGACCTAACCAAACAGTATTTAGAAGTTGAACTTTGTCCGTAAGTATAAAGTATCTTTTCTAACTCGTTACTACATAACTTGAACACATTACTTTCTAATTAGAAATCATGTGGTCATAGTAAAAGCTCACTAATTCCAACTAACTAGGAGGATTTCTAATATGAATTAATCTGGATTATATGTAATTCCTTATTTTCAAGTATATGTATAATTTAGAATATATATTATAAATGTTTGAAAATATTATGTTATTATTTTCAATTTACTAATGTAGGTAGTTCTCTAATAAATCTGAAGATAATTTTTCTTTGCAGAATTAAAAATAATTATAAAATATAAACTCTTATTATTTACTCTATAAATTTCCATTATTATATATTAGCTATTCAGAAATAAAGGGATACATGTAGATATAAAGAATTGAACTAGTTTATGAAAATATTTATTTTAGGGGATTTTTTTTTTTTTTTTTTTTTTTTAAAGATTTTATTTTTTCCTTTTTCTCCCCAAAGCCCCCCGGTACATAGTTGTATATTTCTCGTTGTGGGTTCTTCTAGTTGTGGTATGTGGGACGCCGCCTCAGCGTGGTCTGACGAGCAGTGCCATGTCCGCGCCCAGGATTCGAACCAACGAAACACTGGGACGCCTGCAGCGGAGCGCGCGAACTTAACCACTCGGCCACGGGGCCAGCCCCTATTTTAGGGGATTTTTTTAATGACTAGATTAAACTTTAATTTTGTATATTATGCAATTATGTATTCATGTATTCCTTCCTTTATTCATCATGTACTTATTGAGTGTATCCTTTGTCACTTTGTGTTCTGTGCCGGGGATAAAAACTAAATCACATGTGGCTTTTCCTAGATTCATCAAAAATATTAACCTTGGACTCTCTTTGTTCAAATTTAACCAGTCCCTTGGGGACCCTCTTTACCTGGTTTGCAGTTTTTTCCTGTAGATGTGAAAAAGTGAATTTATGCCCACCTGTTATCTAAATTATAACATTTTAAATTAGTGAAACATTTAATAAGGAAATATTTCTTTATTTGCCATTATTCATTTTAAATGGCATTTAAATACCTCTCAGTATCTAGTATCCAGTAGCCTTTGTCCCTTTGTAGGCTGGGCAGAGAGTCCCAAACAACTGATTTAAACGAGATTTTACGTATGATTTTCTTTCCCTTATTTTGATTTCTTGCTAACCTTAGAGTGGAAGATGTAACTGTTTGCAATTATATTTTTCAGAATAATAATCATATATCTTTGTGTATTACCTTTCAACTAATATGGGAAAATATTTTATTGAAAAATATGAATTTTCACAAACTGTCATGTGAGGTGATAAAATTTCAACTATTGTGTGATTGTTTTCACCACACAGGTGAGAAAGCTAAGGCAAATAGGTTTATAAGTTGTCTTGAAGACAGTCAAGAACTTGGATCTGCTAGAATTCTGAAGTTTCATCCTTAGTTTTAATGTTATTAGATGATAATAGTTTCTTTTCATAAAGTGATGACTTAGCACTAGATGAATAGGAGAATTAGATTCTCTTTCATTAAGAAATTATATAATAACCATATGTATAAAATTGATAAATTACAAAAGTTAAAAAAAGTCCTGAATAGTTTGGTTTCATATATATAAGGACAGTTAATAATCAAGAATTACAGTTTTGCTTCAGGCAGTCATCTCCTGTGACAGTTAACCTCTGGGAAAGCAACATGAAGAATATTGTTGTTTTAATTTGCAAGAACTTTTATTCCTTCTAGGATATTCTTAAAGTTGCATAATAGTGATAAAAATAAGCAGAGAACTTTTAACTGGAAAAGAATCCTTGTCTTCTGTTAGTATAGTTACTGAAGGAAATCCTCCCTGAAAAGCTCACAGCAGACCATCTGTGTAGAAATGTTTAGAGATAGTCTTTTCCAGAGACAGCAAATTTGCTTCATGTAACTACTTGAAATCCTTTGATTCTTACTGACCTGGCTAATTCCAGTTATAATCTCTTAGAATTCCCTTTTGAGGATATATTGTGTTTGTCTTTGAAATGTGACATTGGTGTCTGAACTAATGGTAGAAAGCAGGAAAACACAAGAGGCAGACAGATCAAGGACAGTCTTCAGCCTGTTGACTAGTTTTAGACAATCTGTATTTTTATTTTCTATCTTCCTAATGAGCTTCCAGACAGTTTTCTTACAGAAATAACCTGTAGTGAAGTTGTTGGATTCAGACTTGGAAATTGGTGCCAGCTTCCTTTAGGGTACTTTAGTTTTTGAAAACTGGTTTTATTATGAACTCCAAATACCGTGATATCCCCCTGCCTCTTTTTCATACTTTGCCTCATCTAACCAAATGAAGTATAAAAAGCAATCTGAACATATATAGTTTTATGCATTTGACTGCAGTCATCTGGAAAATGGTAAACTCAAAGATATCATTTCTAAGTAACCAGACATACTAGCTCTCCTTATAATTATCCAATAGTCATATCACGTCTTTTAATTATTTGGAAATTTAGTTACAAGCACACCCATTGCAGATATGAAAGATAGTGAAGAAAATAACGTTTGTTTCTTTCAAACACTCATGAAGAATTTTAATTTTGACAGCCATGGACAGCATTTGGTGCTTTTACTCTCTGGAAGAAGAAATGTGTGGAAAGTAAGTAAATGGAAATATGAGACAATATCTTTAAGTATGCAAGATATATATATGTATATATATGTATAATGTTCAAAGTATAAACCTGAATTTACGTTTTGTGTTTCACATGTTGTATCTGTAGCAAGAACTTGCTCTGTCATTCAAAGTATCCAGAGGAGAGACAAAATGGGAAGGCAGAGCTTATCTTCCTTGGACCTATTTTCCACCAAATGTGACAAAATTCAATTCATTTGCAATTCATGGATCTAGTGATAAAAGAAGCTATGAGGCTCTTTACCCTGTACCTCAGCATGAGCTGCAACAAGGACAAAAACCTGATTTGTAAGTAGAAAATCAATGAAGTGATGTTCCAACTATAAGAGTTTTTTGGAAATTCTTTGTAGAGCAGAAGTAACCTTTTTTTTGGTGAGGAAGGTTAGCCATGAGTTGACATCCAGTGCCAATTCTCCTCTTTTTGCTGAGGAAGATTGGCCCTGAGCTAACATCTGTGCTCATCTTCCTCTATTTTATATGTGGGACACCTGCCACAGCATGGCTCGATAAGTGGTATGTAGGTCTGTGCCCAGGATCTGAACCTATGAACCCCAGGCCACCGAAGCAGAGTGTGGGAACTTAACCACTATGCAACTGGGTTGACCCCAGTAGTAACATTTTTTGATCAAAGACGACATATGTGTGCAAGCACCTAGTAGAGTCCTCTGCTCCCTGATGGTTCTCAGTAAATACCTGACAGATGTAGTCTGTCTCACTCCTGTCGGTAGAGCACTTCTATTGTCATAGTGGTGTGAGAAAAGACTTGCTTAGTGAGTGTTGCGACAGCTGCAACTTATTATGATCCCTTTAATAATAGTGTTGCAAACTTATTATGATCCCTTTCAGAGCTAGATGGCCAGAGGCGTCCATGATTCCTTGCCTGAGGAAGGGTTAATAACTCCTTTCCCCTGCTGCTTGCGAATCTGGACTTCAGTTAACTCTCTAGCTCTCTTCCCCTGGTAACTTCATAAGCATAAAAATGTCAACTATATTTCTAGGCAAGATTGCTTATGATAAAAATGACCCCTAATTGGTAAATTGCATCTGGACTGAGAGGAATTATGAATAAACTATAAATACCTGGTGGGGATAGAACAGCTTTGGGATTTCCCTTTAACAATGGTGTTCCCTGGGGGACCCTGGAAGCTATACCTATGGAGTTATTACAGGAGATACTCGCTCCTATGGGGCAGCAGGTATCTAAGTCAAGGTATGTCCTACACTTTACCATTTCTAGTCCTATCTCTTTGCACTTGAAGCTGCCATCTAAGGAGAATATAACTCCTGGCCAGCCTTGTGACTGCTTCATGGACTGCTGCAAACACTCCTCCCTGAGGGAGGAGAGCCAGGTGCTGTCCTGGGGCAAACTGAGATTCCTGCCCTGTACCTCTTTGATTGTATTCGGTGTGGCCAAGATAGTCTGGTGAGTCTGCGTGTTTAGAAGAACCTGACAGAGACGTCCTAGTGGGCTTTGCACCATGGTAGACTGACTTTCCTGCCTTTTTATCCTTAGAAAGTGCTACACTGTCCTTCCTCTCCCTGCCAGCCTTCTCCTTCCTGTCATGCTCTTACTTCACTCTGCTTTGCCTTCCTCACTTGTAGCCTATTGCGTTATTCTGCCTGACACACTTTTCCCTGTGCTCTTCTCCCCAGTCCTGACCCTTTCTGCTATCCTCTTTCTCCCTTCTTTTATCTTTTCCTTCACTGTGTCCTTAACCTCTTCATCTGGGATTGACAGTTGTGACTCCATAACTGGTTCAGCCTGGGCACATGGGCAGAATGGGACAGGAATCTACAATCAAACTTACTCAGGGCCCTCATTTCAAGACAGCTTGTTTCTGTGGCTCTTCACCAGCTAATGCCTTCCTGTATTCAAGTTCCTCATTCATGTGTTCTGGGAGGCTTACCCTCGGTAAAAGTACATTCTACCATTGGCCAGGGCGGAGCCAGGGTGGAGAGATTTCCTGCCAAATTGAGTTCCACTGCAGCAGGTTAGCTGAGCATTTCTCTCCTTATTAAGCCAAAACAGAAAGCTTCATAATGGTTAAATGGTTTTCCTGGAAGGAAAAGAACTAGGTACCTATGAGAGTTTTTCTGTTTTTTTTGTTTTGTTTTGTTTTGTTTTGTTTTATCTTTCACATCAATGGTTACTAGAGGGGAAAGAGGTTGGAGTGGAGTGAAAGGGGTAAAGGGGGATATTTGTAGAGTGACAGATGGAAACTACACTGTGAGTGGTGAACACGATGTAGTGTATATAGAAGTCAAAGTATAGTGATGTGCATCTGAAATTGATGTAATATTATTAACCATGTTACCCCAATAAAAAAAAAGAAATGCAATCTATGTACTTATGTTTGAAAGCCTAAATGCATTTTATCAAAATAAGTACTAAAATTATTATGGATCACCTCTGTATTTGATTTCTTTTGTTTACAATGTGTTAACAAAAATGAATTTAAATGAAGTCTTAAAACAAAGAAAAGAACTAGGATTAACAGTCTTTTACTAACCTCCCTTGCTTTGCCAGAGGAGTGTATCTTCTAATTTATGAAGCTGAAACTTTTTAAAACAATTGTTTATATGACTGATATAAATTATATCAAAGGTCAAATATAAAATACCTATGAGATCTTTAACATCTATAAGAGTGCAGTATGATTTGTTTAAGGCTAGATGGAATGAATCAGGTTTCGAGGCTTGAGTTTTATTTCTCTCCTCAGCTGTGGGGGAGCTATTGGCAGAATTGAAAGGAGAGCGCTTTGAGATGTGAGTGAAAGTTTTCAGAGCTCAATGTTTGATAGTTAGAGTAAGAAAATTGTACAGATAGAATACATCTTACCTTTGGTATTCTTAAAATAGAACGTTGTATCACAGATGTGCCAAAATAAATAGCCCTTCAGGACAACTGTTTCACAAATGCATAATTCATTTCAATTCCCACCTTCTTTTTCTTTGCATATAGCCATCGTTTGGAATACTTCAAGCCTTTCAATTTTAACACACTGCTTGGAGAAGAATGGAAACAACCCGAATCAGACCTGTGGCTAAGAGAGAAACCTGATATATAGGAGTGTAGTAGATGACTATATCAAACATTTCTTCTCTATATCTTTTAAGGTAAACCAATGATAAGTATAGTCTTTTTCAAGATACCATGAACACATTTCAACAACAAATAGTTTCATAGAGGTCAGTGAAAATATAGTACCTCTGTGGCAAATTGTATATAACAAGAAAATGTAAAGTTTGTAGATGATTTTATCTACAAAGTTAAAATGTTTCTCAGATTCACTTAGTCTAGGAGCCATCATGGCAATGAATTCTACTGTATGCCTTGCATTACCATCACCCCAAATATCCCTGACTCTGTCAACCAAAATCATTATTTCTCTTTCCACATAGCTAAACTTCAGCCAGCCTGAGACTGGAACATCTTATTTGTGCATTTTTGAACTCCATGTAATATACGATAATTCCTTACTTGGAATCTTTTGTCCATTCTTGAAATGTGTAGAAAACAATGACCTATTTCAGTTGAACAGGACATCTACTTCTGTTAAGGCATTATTAGGATACATGTGTTATTTAACCAGCAGTTTTTTCAGTCTTACAACTATTTTTACTCTGTAGAAGGAAATGGAATGAAATAGTCTTGAATTTGAGCAACAGGTTCTGCTTTTATTTATAAATAAATGACATTTTCTTAATGCTGTTAAACAAGATATAAAAATATTTTTATTTTATTTTGTAAACATCAAATATTCCTGGTCTAGAATTTTCAAATTCTCTGTTATAATATAGTTCAGAGCTTGAAGCCATCTAGTAGATAGATCATCTCTGAATGCCTCCACAAACCTGCTCCTTCACCAGCATTCTTAACTCAGAGATTAGCATTCTTGTGGAAGAAGAACCTTTATTACTCATACAGATACCTAGTTGCCTACCCAACAATATACTTTCTCCTCTACTTTATTAAAAGAACTTGAATTTTTGGGAGCTATGCTCAAAAAGTACGTTTTCCCAGACTCCTTTGCAGATAGAAATGACACTATAAAACAGTTCAAGTCAATGAGATGTAAGCATACAGTGTTAGGTGGGGCTTTGAAAAAAGATGCTTTAAAGATGAAAGACTCAGCTGGCATACACCTTTGGTCCTTTGCCCTCCCCTTCCTTTTCCCTGAATTGCAGAATTGATACCTGAGGTAACATACTAGCTACGCTGTGTTAATGAAGAGACAACCGAGGGATAGCAGAGCAGCAAGACAAAGGAGCCTGGGTTCCAAACAGCATGCTAGAGTAATACTGTATCATACCTGGACTGCCTCCCTCTACACTTCTTTATACAGAGAAAATGAGCTGCCTAATTTATTTCCCCAGATTCATCTGTAGATTCAATGCAATCCCAGTTAAAAATCTCAACAGGCTTTTTTGAGTAGAAACTGACAAGCTGATTCAAATTTTATATGGAAATGCAAAGAATCTCAAATAGCCAAAACAATTTTGAAAAATTGCAAAGTTGAAGGACTTTTACTACCTCACTTCAAGACTTATTAAGCTTCAGTAATGAAGACAGTGTGACCTTGGCATAGATTTGTACAAATATATCAATAGAATAAAATAGAGAAATCAGAAAGAAAACTGTATTACAGTCAATTGATTTTTGAAAAAGGTACTAATGCATTTAAAAAGGGAAAGGACTGTCTTTTCAGCAAGTGGAGTTGGAATAACTGGAAAAACATGAAAAGAAAAATGAGCCTTGACGCCTACCTCACAACCTATAGAAAATTTAACCTAAATGTGACTGGTGAAATGAAAAAAGTTCTAGGAGAAAATCTTCACAATCTGAGGTAGACAAAGATTTTTTTCTTCCTGGAGAAGGTTTGCCCTGAGCTAACATCTGTGCTAATCTTCCTCTACTTTATATGTGGGTTGCCGCCACAGCATGGCTGATGAGCGCTGTAAGTCCTCACCTGGGATCGGCCAAAGGGAACATGCCAAACTTAAGCACTATGCCACAGGGCTGGCCCCAGGAGTTTTTTTAAATAGGGCATAAAAGCATTAACTAAAAAAGAAAAAAGGTGAGAAATTGGACTTCATCAAAAATAAAAATTTCTTTTCATCCAAATCTGCCATTAAGAAAGTGAAGAGGCAAGCCAAAGATTGGGATAAAAGATTGAAAATACAAGTATCTGACAAGGGACTCTTACCCAGAATATTTAAAGAACTCCTACAAATCGCTAAGAAAAGGACAAGCCAAGTAAGGAGCAAAAGACTTGAACAGACGCTTCACAGAGGAAAATACATGAAAGGCCAATAAGTATATAGAAAGGCTTTCACCCTCACTTATCACCAAGGAAACGTAAATTAGAGCCACAACAAGATACCACTAAGTGACTGAAATGACAAATTACACACAATGGCTATGTGGCTAAAATTGAAGAAGACTGACAATGTCAAGCATTAATGAGATTGTGGAGTAAGTGGAACTTTTATACTCCGAGAGTAGGAATGTAAAATAGTACAACTGCTTTGGAAAACTGAAAATTTCTGATAAAGTTAAATACACACCTACCCTGTGATTCAACAGTTTCCTACTTAGGTATCTACTCAAGAGAAATGAATGTTCCAAGCAGCTTTATACATAACAACAAAAAACTGTAATCAATCAAATTTCCATCCATGGGAGAATGGATAGAGAAACTGTGATATAGTCAGACAATGGAAGACTACTCACAAAAAAGAATGGACTACTGATACATGCAACAACCTAGACAAATTTTAAAAGCATTATGTTGAGCAAAATAAACCAGATACAGCATGATGTATAATTATTTTTATGTGAGGCCAGTTTAGGCAAAACTAGGCTATAGTGAGATCTCAGAACAGTGATTGCTCTGGGTGAGGGGAGGGGATTCAATTTACCTGGAAAAGGGGCATGAGGGAGTTTTCTGGGGTGGGTTGAAATGTTTTGTATCTTGATCTGGCTGATGGTTATGTAGCTGCATACATTTTTCAACATTCCCCAAGCTGTATATTTAAGATTGGTGATTTTATTATATGTAAATTATATCTTAATAAAATACTGTTATAAGCTGAAAATTAAATGGAGTTAACGTCAAGTTTATATTGTTCCATTGAACAATCACTAATGCTCGTTAAATATGGCGTATCAACTAATTCTTTTCATTTATTAAATATGTTGTCTGAAAAGAGAGCTGGCGTAAGATAAATGCTGACTGTTACAGAAAGCATTGTAAGTGTCTTCATGACAACATACCATGGTGGCGGTATTAGGCATCCTAGATAAATTCAAAAAATATTTTAAAAATTGATAATAGCAGCTAACTAATTTGATTTGGTAATGATATGCCACTTTTGGATAGGAAAGGCATATTTCAAATAATCTTGGATGGTTTATTTATAAATTACCTGAAATAACTTTATGAGTGCGTATAAAACTATCCAAAAAAAGAGATATATTTAGAGTATCCTGATTTGAGAAGTGAATCCATCATTCTAAGTCACAGGTTCAGCTATAAATCATAACTGTTTATGAGGGAAAAGTAAAGCACAGATATTCTAGATACAATCACAGCCGTATAAAATATTGAATTTGAATGTTGTGAGCCTCCTAAAACCTAACATGTGTCTTCTTTTTGTCTATTTAGATGTTTTTAAAACATCTCTTAACTTTCTTTTATCTAAATAAGAAATGTGTTTGCCTTCTTCCAATAACAAGCAAGCAAAAACACATATACACATTTTCTTTTGAAAGATACATGCAGTTCAACCACAGAATTTTGGAAAATTTGTCCATTAGTAAGATAGAAACAATTTACTCTATAGAAACTTAGTATTTGAGAGTGGGTGTTTGTAATAGCTGTTTCAAATTTGTTTTTCACCTTCAGGACCATGAAAGAATAATCATTCCTTTGTTTAATGTATGCACGAATGCATTTCCTTGCTGTGTTTTGAATTGTTCACTACAGTATCATGCAGATTCCCTCTTCTCACCACTTAAATAGATTGCACAGTGTGTGTATTTTTTGAGGTGCTTTTGCATGCTTTCTCTCAGCTCCAGTAAAGTGTAAGGCACAGTCCAGGGGGAAATACACTTTTTATCTTTAGTCCCCAAATACTTTTTTTGACGTTAAAAAAATTTTGCCAGAGAAAAATTACTTAGGCTTTTTTCCTCCTTCTTTTTAAGATGTTAGGCTTTTGAGGCTGAAGATGATGAATATAGTTAATCTGATATTTAAAAAGAAAAAGAAAGGGTACAAGTGGTGAAACCATTACGGTAAGCCCTCAACACTTCTACTTACATCTCAAAAGTCCAAGGATCATCTTCTCTTTCCCATTTAAGTTTCCATAGTATTTTAACATTGCTTTATCAGAGCACTTATCCCGCTGTACATTAGAAAGCTCTTCTGACCCATCTCCCATCCTCTCAGCCTAACATTTTACTCCAGCAGCCAGTTGCACTCAGCACACTGACAGCACCTTGCCTCAGCTGCACTGCTATCTATTGCTTCCTGCCCCAGGGCTATGCTTCCATCTCAGCTCTGTGGAACACCTGCAGGAACCCATTTAGCCATTCTCGTTGGTGAATAAATGAAAAGCAATAAGAAAAGTTAATATATATTGTGGTATATGAGGAAGCCACTTGGTTTAAAACTAATTCAACATGGCCTTGTTTTTCCAGAAGGTCTTGATGTGGCCTACCAAGCATGCATTGTACATCTGCTTTAAACATTTACAATGTCCCAAAGCCAAGAACGATGCCCTTAAAGATAGGGATGTATGTACCTCCCCACCAATATCGGCATTTCTTTTTAGATAAGCATTTCTTCCCAGAAACTAAAGATTAATTACTGACTTACTGTGCTCATCTTGTGACCACTGACCTGCTGTGCTAGCAAAGCATTTTGTGAAAGTAGTAAAAGAGATATTCCTGTCATATGTGATGTATGTTTCTCGTTCCAAGATGGTATATAACCACGCTGTGTTCGTCACTTCTTCAGAGTTCTTCCTTTCTTGGTGAAGTAAGGTCGTTTTATCCTGGACTATAGTCCTCAAAACTAGCTCATATAATAAACTCACCCCAATTTTGATTTAGA